TTTGTGGAATCAGTTTCACAGGTGAGGAAACTGAAGTCCAGAGAGGTAAAGCGACTTGCCCCAGGTCACCCAGCAAGTCCTAGGGAACTGGTACTCCAGCCCAGGAGTCCTGCCTCCTATGGATCTGATCTGCAGGGGAGAGGTAAGGGTGGGTGAGACTGTCCCACCCACAAGCCTATCTCCTCCCCTCTCCCTGTAGGAGCTGATGGTGAAGTTCCCCCTGAAGGAGATCCAGTCAACTCGAACCCAGCGACCCACGGCCAACTCCAGCTACCCATATGTGGAGATTGCACTGGGGGATGTGGCGGCCCAGCGCACCATGCAGCTGCAGCTGGAGCAGGTGGGTCTAGCCCGGGTACCCAGGCCTTGTCACCCAGCCCCTCCCTCCTTCATTCCACCCACCAGGCTCTCTGCTGGGCCTGGCTCTAAGGTAGGTCCACGGTGCCCCAGGGAGCATCCATCCAGGCCAGTGCTGGGGACAGAGCTAACTCAACTAACCCAACTGAGCATACAACTGTAGGTCATTCGGGTGGTCTCCCAATGAAGCATCTTAGTGGTAGGCTCATGGGAAAGGGCCCAGGTTATTTGCAGAATGTTGAGGAGTTTGTTGGGGAACTGGGGAGACACAGCCAGGGCAGGGAAGGTCTGAAAAGTCCTTAAATGTCAACCTAAGAATCCGGGACATTCCCCTGAGGGCACTAGGGAGCCACAGAAGGTTGGTGAGAGGGCAGGGACACAAGTTTGAGGAAGCTCACCTGGACTGAGGCTTGGAAGACGAATGGTGAGGCGTGGGATTGAGGGTGAGAGGGTGGGGTCCTCATGTGACAGAGAAACTGAGGTCCACCTGCCCTGTATCCTCCCATATTTTAGCACCTGTGGCTGCTTCTTAAAAAGGCATGGCTGACCTCTAGACTCCCGTCCAATTCTCACACCCCTGGGGTGAGAGTTCTCACCCCACTGGGGAGAGAAGATTGAGGCCCAGGGAAGGTGTGGGACCAGGACTAGGGCCTACACATGTCTGCCCTTGCCAGCCTTCCACAGCCCCTCAAGATCTGGGCCTAGGACTGGCCCCCACACTGGGGCCTGCCTTGGAGGGGCCCACCTCCCGGGGCAAGAGGGAGGGACTCCCACCGCCCTAGCCCTGCCTCTGAGGGACACAGAAGAGCCCTTTTGGCTCCATGTACCTCTTGGAGAGCTGCAACTCAGGACCAGGCCCCCCAGTCTGCTTCCCACCGCACCCCAGTTCTGCGCCTGCCAAGCTCACCCCTAGTCCTGGCCTTACTTTCTGGCCTGGCCTGCTTCCCAGAACCTTCCTCTCTGAGCTCACACCACAGTGAACCTACCTTCTGCTCCTTCTTGGGCTCCTTTTCTGCTGCCCCCTCCCCTGGGTGATGTCTAACTGTTGCCGAGTCTGAGCCCCGAGCCCCGAGCCCCGCACTCTTTCTGGCCCCGAGGCAACCGTGCCTGCTGTGACAGCCCCCATGTTTCTGTCTCCTGCCCTGACCCCTCATCATCTCCCCTGGAGACCCACAGGCCTTACTTCAGAACCCTCCCAGGCACTCTCGGGCCCTAACCCAGGGGCCCTTTTCATCCCTGTTGCCTCCTCTCCGGCCTCTGCTCTCACCCCCTCACCCTCTGCTTGCAGCCCTGGCCTCTTCCAGCTCCCTGATGCCAAGCTTGCCCTCACCTCTCTGCCCCAGGCCCTTTGCACTCATTGTTCCCTCTTCCCCAGTTCGATCCAGGGCTCTCCCCCTCCTTCCCTTTATTTGGGTGGCAGCGCAAGCATCACCTCTTTCCAGAAGCTTTCCCTGACCCTCCTCCCTGATATATTACTATCTTCACCTTGGTAGGAGGTACCTCCTTAGGGCTTGCAGATCAGTTACTTGTTTACATATTGTCTGTTTCCCCCACCAGAATGCCAGCCCCAAGAGCCCAGCTCTGTGTCTGTTTTGTCTACGTTGTGTCCAAAGCACAGCACCTGGCGTGTAGTACATACTCAGAAAGTGGTTGGTAGGATGGATGGTTGGATGGGTCCTCTTTGGCTTTTCCACTTCCTTGCAGACCCCCAACCCCTTTGTGCTGCCACCTCTGCCTCTGGCATGTTTGGGGGGGGCGGCGCATTCATTCATTCATTCATTCATTCAACATGTTAACCACTGAACATCTCTACGTAGCAGGCTCTGCACTGGCTACAGGGAAACTGAGGTCACTGTGACCCTCTCAGCTCTGGCCCTCACCGAGCCCCAAGTCCAAAGAATCTCTCCAGTAGCCCACGATCAGTGCTGAGAAGGCTGTAGCCGAGCTTCCCGGGATGTAGTCAGTGAGGGCTTCCAAAAGGAGGTGGTGCTGAGTATTGCGGCAGTGCAGCCGACAGACCTAGGTCCCCGTCTCGCCCACCTCTGATAGGCTGCATGAGGGGATCTCAAGGCGCCCCACTTCTTACGGAGCTTCAGTTTCCACACTTGTCAAGTGGGGCCACGGCTCCAGGGAGGCCTCGCATTTTGCACGTGGGTGGGAGGGTTGGCTGGAGCATCGGCTGGAGGGGACGATGCCCATCATGCATGCCCTGATCTCATCCCCAGAGGGGGCCCCCAAGCGTGGGGCAGGTGCCGCTGATATCAGCACAGATCGCTTTGGAGTGGGGCCTTGGGCCTCTTACCTCCTGGGTTCAAGTCCCCACCAACTACCTACCAGCTTCGAGGTCTGGGGCAAGTGGCTTCAGAGTTCTGGCCTCAGTTTCCTCGCCGGTGGAATGGGGTGTGAAAGTGTCTGCCTCGTAGGGATACGGTGCGGACGGGAAGGGGAGGGTAAGCTGCAGGAACCTTCCGGGCGGTGCATGGTACACAGTCACGGCTCAGCCCCTGTCCTTTCTTTCAGAGCAGCTCTCGTGGCCCCTCGCAGATCCCTGCGGGCATGCCCCTGCCGCCTGTGGTCTGAGAACCACCCTCAGGTGGACTTTCCACAATTCTCTGCCGCCTCTTCCTCCCCACCCCATCTGGGAGCCCTGAGGCTGGCCCGTGGCTTATTCTCTGCCCTGGGTGCCCCGTGGTAACCATGGCAACACATCACTAGACACTTACCACTTATCGACTAGGCTCATTTTTTCCATTTAAAGGGTTTCCATGTAATAAAATCTCACAGAATCCTCCCCGCAGCCTTTGAGGCAGGCCCTGGGAAACCGAGACCCTACTGATGAGGCCGCTGAGGCTCTTGAGAGCTGAAGTCACCAGCCCTAGGTCACACTGGTCACACGCAGCAAAGGTGGCAGATGCGCCTGGTCTCCTGCTTACTGACCCCTTCCAGCCGGGAGGTGGGGACAAGGGTGGGACCCGCCAGTCCTCTCCCAACCACATCTCACCCCAAGGGGAGAGCTGGGGGAGTGTCTCTGGGCGTGTAGACTCTCACTGTCTCTCCTGCAGGGCCTGGAGCTGTGTCGGGTGGTGGCTGTGCACGTGGAGAACCTGCTCAGTGCCCGTGAGAAGCGGCTCACGCTGCCCCCCAGCGAGATTACGCTGCTGTGACCCAGCCCGGGGGCCCTCCAGCCGCCCTCTCCCAGAAGGCTTGCTGTGTGGCCCCAGGGAGGTACTGGGCCTCTCTGGGCCAGTGACCTCTGGAAGGGGCCAGGCCCTTGGTAGGGAGACCAAGAGGTGGTAGAACGAATGACCTAACTTCCCGGGAACCCAAGACGACAGATGCAGAGTTGGGATGGAACGGCAGTGTGCGAACTTGGGTCAGATAACAGGAGGAACTTCCAAAGGCTGGCCCCTGGGGCCTGGCCCCAACTCGCCCCTGTAGCAGAGAAGCCCCACACCAATGGCCTAGTCAAACTGGACTCTGCATTTGCTTTACCGCGGGTCTGATGTTCAAATCTGCTCCAGCTCCACATCTCAGCCCCTCACATGTCCTCCTTGAGTGCTCCCCCCACTGCTGCTCAGCTTGGATTTCTGATGCTTGGTCTTGTCTGTGCACATAAAGGGTGTGCCCGGCAGCCATTCCTCCCTCCACACAGTTGCTGAGTAGCTGGAAAAGCAGCCTAAGGGAGGAGACAGGAATTGGGAGGCCCAGCTGAGCCCCTGACTCACTGCCCGTGAACAGAGTATCTAGCAGAGACCTGTTCTTCTCTCTCCCTGCAGACCCGTCCCCCCAACTGCACACTCCTTAGGTAGCCCCAGCCCCAGCCCCAGGTCCCCATCACTGGATGGCTCACACAAGGTTGGAGGGGGGTATAGTGGAGGGAGAGAGAAGTTTCACGTCAGGGTCTGGGGAGGAAGCAATCTGGCAAAGGCTTCCCAGAGAATGGGACACAGGGGTTGGGTTTTGAGGGATGGGTTTAGGCATTTGCTGGGAATAGATGGAGGGGAGGGGAGTGAACATTCCAGAGAAAACAGTGTTCATTCCATATTGTATCCCCCAGAGCCTAGGACAATGCCTATCACAGAGTAGGCACTTGAACAACGCTTGTTACGTGGGTGAAAGGATAAATAAATAAATAAATGTTGATGAAAAGTGCTGGTACTTTGGGGAACTTGGGGAGGAGGGAGGTACTAGGCTTGGGAGAAGGCTGGACAGGTATCTGAGGGCCTAAGTAGCTGGAGCCATGGTGCCTGAGGACAGATGTATTTACTCATTCCACACCTATTAAGCACCTACTGTGTACTAGGCAAATGCCAAGACCTGGGACTTGCTCACAGTGAAAGCACTATAAACCATGACAAGATCTGTGAGTGGCGTTAGCTCGGTGATGAGGGAAGGGAACAGCATGTGGGCATTGCTCGTGGAGGACTTGAGACTGAAGAGGCCAGCAGGGGTGGATGGAGTCAGGCTTGCAGGCTACACTAAGGATTTAGGATTTCATCCCAAGAGTCATGCGGAGCCTTCGAAGGTTGTTCAGTGGGAGAAGGGTTGTAGTCTGCTCATATCAGACTTTGAAGAGGTCATTTCGACCACAAAGCAGAGTGAACGTTGGGGACGGGGAGGCCAAAGTGGGAGCTGCTGTCGTGTCAGCCGGGAAACTCTGTGGTGTGGACACTGCTGGTGGTGACAGGCGGGGAGAAGTTGGTATCTCTAGGGAAGCAATCAGGCTGTCCTGAGACAGGGAAGGTCAAGAAAGAGCCCTTCACACATAGGCCACGGGGCTGTCCCGCTTTCAACACTCGGGGTGGCATCCCCTGAAGCAGCCCCACTGAGAGAAATCCAGTGCGTGTAGCTGATTTGGGAAGTGAGGGAAATGGAAAAGGAGCCAGAAAGAGTGCGTTTTCCATCAGGCTACCCCTGCTGCAGTCACTCTGCCCAGGTGAGAGGCGAGAGGACTTCTGGGTTTCAGAATCTAGGTGGGCCTTGTGAGTACGGCCCCTTGGAAGTGGCTCCTCGAGGTTGAGCTGCCCTCCTGATGCCATGGAACTGAGAGGAGCCTTCCAGCCCATCCCTGGCCAGGCTGCAGATCTATGAGCTGGAAAGGTGACTGAAGCCTACGTTTTGGGGGTGGTTTGCCACATAGCATCGGACAACCCAAACACCAGAGCTTTGGGATTTCAGAACCTAGCAATTCAAGCCCTTGTAAAAGGAGGTCACAATCCCCAGAAGGCAGAGTGGAGAGTCAGGTGTGACAGAGTCAGACCCTGCCCTGTCCTTCGGGCACCATAGGGGTACCACACTAGGCCCCTCTACCTGGGCCAGGACCTAGAAAGACAGGAACTCCAGGTAAGTGTGGGGAGATCCAGAGCAGAAGGGACCAAGATTCAGGGTTCCCAGCTGAGCGTGTGGTGAGAACAATACAGGAGAAAGGTCTAGGTGGCCTGGGAGCCCAAGTCAGTCAACTGGTAAAGGCTTGAGGTCCCAGATGGGTGTGGCAGGATGCACCATATTTGGGCACCGAAAAGTAACCAGAAGGACTTCATTGCATCCCCTATGTGGGACAAGTGGCTAGACTTGGTCAGGTTCTGGTGTCCACATAACTCCCCTTGCTGGTTCCCCCTGCTTAGGGGTGCTGCCTGTTGCCCAGAGCCCACAAGCCTATTAAGAGAATCCTCGCTTGGTAGTTGGAAGGCTGTGGAGCCAGCTGATAAGCTGTGTGGCCTTTGGCAAGCCCCTTGCCCTCTGTGAGCCTCTGCTTCCTTCTTTGTATACTGGAAGCACTGACAGAAGTCTTAGAGCAAATACTTCCTAAGGGACCATCATTATGTCCAGCATAGGATACAAATGGATGTCCGGGGTGGGGGAAGACTTTTTTTTCCTTTAAAAAGCTAATTCTCACCAAGTTTTTACTCTGCACCAGGCATTGTACATACACTGACTCATTTAACCCTCAAAGTACCCCCAGTGAGGTGAGTACTATTATCACCATCTTATATACGGGAAAACTGAGGCCCACAGAGTTATGAAGCAGGTAACCACCAAGTGACCTAGCCAAGATTCGAACATAGGCAGGCTGGCTCCACAGTCGGTGTTGTCTCTCGCTGAGGCTCAGAGAGGGGAGGGCTCTGGCTCCAGAAGAATCAAGAAGGAGGGCACCGAAACTTTGGATGGGGGGGTGTCTGGGATGGGAGAGGCTGTTGAGACCCCTAGAGAAGAGGTGATCTTCCTTTTTGCCTGGGTGAGGGGAGCTGGGCGCCACACAGGAGTCTCTGGATTTTCTCACGACTGTGATATGACCTCCCTGTCAAGCAGGTGTGTGGGCAGAATCTAGTGCCCCCCATGTTAGAGGGCAGTTTAGAGGTAGGTGGGTGCGGGGCTTCTGAAGGGCCTGAGCCCTCACAGGCCAATTGCTCATTATGCAGGCAAGGGGTCCCTGCCCAGGCGCTCACACAGCACGGCCGAGGCGGGACTGAAGCCGGAGCCCTGGCCACCTGACCACAGCCTTGCCCACTGGCCGCCACCTCACTAGCTGCAGCTGCCTTCCTACCGCCGCCACCACCACCTGCGCCCACTACGCCGCGTCGGAAAAGGGCAGGAGCCAAACTTACTATAGGCTTCGTGCCTGCCCCATTTTCCCCTGCACCTGCTGCTTCTTGGGAAGGAAGGTGGCCCGGCAGGGAGCTTGGGGACGGCTCTGGAGTCCCAGGTGTCCAGGATTCCCCATCTCACAGGCCCTGCCGGCCTAGCCTTGCCCAGCAACGACACAACCCACACCTCCCAACAGGGACTGGCAGGTCCTTCGGTTTGGAAACTGAGACCCTGACTAGAGGTGTGCAGTCCCCTCTGCTTAACAGACATGACCTCGTTTCGTTCTCACAGCTAACCAAATGTGGGGGTACTAAGGTTATTCATTTTACAGACCAGAAGACTGAGGTTGAGAGAGGGTAAGTCCCTTGCCCAGGGTCCTACAGTCCGTCGGGAGGTCCAAGATTCAAACCCATGTCGGTCAGTCTGGTGCTTTGGCAAGTTGGGGGGCGGGGGCGGCAGTGGAGGGGATGCAGAGACACACGGGCTGGGAGCAAAATGGCCAGGGAGGTGAGGCTGAAGGCAGATGCCAAGGCCAAATCACGAAACCAAAGATGCATTTCATTTCACTGAGTATCTGGGAAGGCTGCTGGGGAGGTGAGCGGAGCCTCAAAAAATCAAAATGGAGACGGGTGGAAGGAACTGGCATTTCAGGAGGAAGAAACAGCTTGGGCGAGGGCCAGGAGGTGTGACAGAGTGTGTCTGAGCGAGACTGGCGCTCAGAGTTCGTGGAGAAGGGAGAGGAGGCGAGGCCCGAAAGGTCTCAGACAAAGGCTCTGAACGCCAAGCAAAACAGAGGAACTCGATCCTGGGAGCCCCGGGGGGTTCTCGCGAAGAACCCCCAGCTGGGGACCCGCCCCTGCGCGGAACCGCCACGCCTTTGCCCACGCCACCACCCTGTCCAACCGCACTGCTTCAAAACTTTGGAATTGTCCCTAGTAACTAGCTAAAGTTTTGCCTTCGCCGTGAGCCTACTCGTCCCCCTGAGTTTCCTTCCGTCGTTCCCGAAGAGGAGCCCCTATACCCATCTTTAAGACCCGAAGGAGAACCGACGCCAAACCCCCGCGCGTCCCGCGGCTGCGCACGCGCCCGCCGCCACCGGGACGTGACTCGTGGAACGTCCACTCCGGGCGGCGGGGAGGCGGCGGGGGTGGGGGGCAGGGAGGTGCCCCCTCAATGAGTCCAGCTTCTGCAGCCGTCGCCGTCTGGCCTTAGAGCTGGGACCCGGTGCTCTCGGCCGCGCAGTTCGAGGAGTTTCGGCCGGTTTCAGAACTTTCCTAAAGAGTCTGAGGGCTTTTCTCCGTTGGCGTCCACATTCGGGCACTTCCATAGCCACCCATTCACCCCTCAGGGGTCCTTGACGCCCTCCACGCAGTTAATTAAGTGACGGACGCAGTAACCAAGGCGACCACTTGATTGACAGACACGAATGCGAACCAATTTCCGGAAGCTCCCGTCTGGGCCCGCCCGGCGCGTGGCCGGTGACCCAATGAAAGAACTGGAAACGCAAAAGGGGGCGGTGACGGGGCAGCCTAGGTTGTGGCGGTTCCCCGGTGGTTGCGCGTTGAGGGCTGAGGCGTTTTCGAGCCTTTGGACGATGCCGTGACGCAGCATCGCGAGAGCGTTGACAGTGTGAGCGCACCCCTGTGGAGGGAGCCCTTCGGTCGCGGAGGTGGCGCGTCAAGGAGGCAGGTTGCTGTTTGAGGGTGCTCCCTCGGAGTCCTTCAGTGAGTGGGGGAGGGGCGTCGGACGCCGAGCGGTCCCCGTCTGCGCTTGCGCGGGCGCCTCCGGTGACCCGGCCTACACGCACGCGCATGCCCGCTGCGCGCGGAGCCGCGGTGGCTGGCGGCATTGCGCGTGCGCGCTGAGGAGCTCGCTGAGGAGCGGCGCTGGCGGACGTCGGGCGAACGGCCCGTGACGTCGTGAGGAGCGCTTTAAAGTGCGGGCTGGGCCGGGCGTCTGAGGGTCTGGCTGGGAGTCGGGTCGGTCCTCCGCAGCGGCCCTCCGCGGCATGAGGCGCTGCCGGCGCCCTTGCTCCGTGGGACGTGAAGAAGGTGGGGAAGGAAGCCCTGTTGCCGCCACCGCTGCATGACCCGCCGCCCCTGAGGCCCGACCCCGCGCCCGTTCCCTCGACGCCCCCCCCCCGCCGGGTCCCCCGGTCTCGCATGGGGGCCTGGCGCTGAGGGAACCCCATTTCTCCGGGGGCGCCGGGGCGCGTCCTCCGAGAGCCATGCCCGGCCGCCCCTCCGGCCCCGGAGGACCCTAGAGCAGCGTCGTGGGGGCCATGGCGGCCGCCAGCGGTTACACGGACCTGCGTGAGAAGCTCAAATCCATGACGTCCCGGGACAACTATAAGGCGGGCAGCCGAGAGGCAGCGGCCGCCGCCGCCGCCGCCGTAGCCGCCGCTGCCGCCGCCGCCGCCGCCGCCGAGCCTTACCCGGTGTCCGGGGCTAAGCGCAAGTACCAGGAGGACTCGGACCCCGAGCGCAGCGACTACGAGGAGCAGCAGCTGCAGAAGGAGGAGGAGGCGCGCAAGGTGAAGAGCGGCATTCGCCAGATGCGTCTTTTCAGCCAGGACGAGTGCGCCAAGATCGAGGCCCGCATCGACGAGGTGGTGTCCCGCGCCGAGAAGGGCCTGTACAACGAGCACACGGTGGACCGGGCCCCGCTGCGCAACAAGTACTTCTTCGGCGAGGGCTACACGTACGGCGCCCAGCTGCAGAAGCGCGGGCCTGGCCAGGAGCGCCTGTACCCGCCGGGCGATGTGGACGAGATCCCCGAGTGGGTGCACCAGCTGGTGATCCAGAAGCTGGTGGAGCACCGCGTCATCCCCGAGGGCTTCGTCAACAGCGCCGTCATCAACGACTATCAGCCCGGCGGCTGCATCGTGTCTCACGTGGACCCCATCCACATCTTCGAGCGCCCCATCGTGTCCGTGTCCTTCTTTAGCGACTCCGCGCTCTGCTTCGGCTGCAAGTTCCAGTTCAAGCCCATCCGGGTGTCGGAACCTGTGCTCTCCCTGCCGGTGCGCAGGGGAAGCGTGACTGTGCTCAGGTAACCCACCCGGGAAGGAGGGGGCGCCCCTGCATCCTGCCGCCTTAGCTGCCCACCCTCACCCAGGAGGCGGCAGCAAATAGCTCGCCTTTACAGTTGTGACCCATTCTTCTGGTTTGGGTGGGAGAAGGGGCAGGGGGGGAAAGGGGGTCTGTGTTTAAAACACGTGTAGTAAGGAAGCAGGGGAGGGGTCAGGGAACCAATCTAGAATTTTGTATCCCGAGGGCAGGTTTGGCGTGATCACACACGCTTGACTAAGAATTGATACAAAGGCGTCTTTCTAGAAGGCTGAGCTTTTAGGAGTCTGTTTTCTGTGTGTGCTTTTTAGCAAGTCACTTTTCCGTTTCTGGGTCTCTGTTTTCAAATCTGTGCTTTTAAAAGAATAAGTGGAACTCTTATCTGAGAGTCTGTCCAACTCAGCCATTTTCGTGTTTTTGTTGTTGTTTTTTAAGCGGAAGACGTGTAAGGCTTTCTTAACCGAGAAAATATGGAGGAAGGTCCCTGAGGGTATTTAATAGATACAGATTCTCTCTTCCCAACACTTTCCAGGGAGTAACTTCCCTGGAGACGAACAGTTGAGTGGTTGAGGCAGAAATAGAGTGTAGCAGACTCGGAAAATTCAGCCCCTGTTGGCCGCAGAAGAGCCTGTTGGCCCTTTGTAAGAAGGTGTTACCTGTTACCAGGGCCATATGAAACCAAATAAAGTGGATCTTTTTACCTGGTGTTTTGTAGTTGCATCAGGCACAGAATTTAGGTTCTTGGCCTGTTTTGGGTCCCAGATCCTGCTGAGAATTCGCTCAGTACCCTGGTCCCCAAGAAGATTTTCTGCTGGAACGCCTTTGTTTATATGGAGTAGGAAATTTTTATTGGGAGGTGCCTCCTTCCAGCCCTAAAACAGGTAACCTAGCACTGTACTTTCAGTAATCCCCCAAACCTCTTAGGAGCTCTAGACTGCAGCTGCACAGAGCGGCTTGCTTGACCAGCGAATTCTAGTATAGGATCAGAACGTGCTGAGTTTTTGTGAACAGCTTAACTTCTGAAGTCCGAGCCATGGGCCCTGGTCCTGGGGAGAAGTGGGTTCCTTAATATGAACTCTCTTAATCTGAGGCAGGTCATCGATCTCATTTGAGTTTAGCAGCTGAGGCTGCTTCTGTATCTGGGAGTGGCAGCAGAGCCTTGTGATATCCCAAGGTCTCCTGATGGGGAAGTTTGGGAAGTCAGTGGTAGCCGAAACAGTACTTTGGCTTCCTTATGCATCTGAAACTTAGATGGCCGCTTATCCATCAGGTGCCCCTTTGTCATTTGGGTTTCCAAGCTTACCCTTGGATCTAAGTGGTGCTCCCAGATTAAGGTCTTAGTGTAGAGCCCTTTAAGATGGGATTTCCAGGACAGACCCTCACAAGTGGCTTGCTGTGTAAGGCAGTTTGGTGTCTGACTTCGTTGAAGGGCTCTTGATCCTAAAAGGAACTCACACAAAGGCCGTTTAGTCTCTTAGGGGAATATGAATTTTCCATAGTCACAGGTCTTTAAGGTTGTCTTGAGGACGTCTAGCAGTGGTTGGGTGTGTAATGGGTGCTCATAGGACGCGGTTTGTGACTTTGAGGCTTTCCCTCCCCCTAGCGCACGTGCGCGCGCACGCACACACACGCGCACACACACGCCCTGTTGAAGAGCAGAAGTTTTAAGTTCTTAAAATACAGATCTGTTAGTGATCAGCAACAGGATTGCATCATCAGGAAAATTCTCTTCATCTTTTCCTTGGGATAGTAAAGTCCTAAAGCTTTCCCAGTTCTTTCCAACTCCTGGATTCTGACTTGGCTCTGGTGTTAATGCCGGAGGCTCAGCCATATCCTGAAAAAGTGCTGCCCCAGGCTTTGACTCCAGCTTGGCTGTCATTTGCTTTGAGACCTTGTGGGCATTCTCTGAGCTAAAGTGGGGGTAATGCCAACTTCCAAAACCTTTTAGAATTAATGTTGGTGATTTGGTGTTTTATAAAGAGCCTGGCACGGGGTAGGCGCTTAAGTGGGTATTTGTTTTCATACACAACCCATTTAATGATCCGTTGATCTCTTGTCTGGGAAGGGGCTAGGGATTGGGTGGAGCCTGCATCGTGGCTCTTCCCTTCATAGAGTTCACAGCCTAGTGGGAGCCACAGACAGTTACAGCCCAGGAAAATAACTGCAGGAGTACTTTGAAGGTGGGGGGACCATTTTTGGAGTGTTAGAAGTTTTTAGTAGGAGGAAATGAGGTAGAACTTGAAGGGTGACCAGAACTTAGCCAGGCAACGAAGTTGTTAGCAGTGAGAACACGGAAGCTTTGGTGGCAGTAGCAGTGAGTAGCCATAGGTCAGGGGGGCGGGGGGCAGGTAGATGCTGACTTGAGGCTGATGGAATTCGTTTTTAGTTCTCAGATTCAACCTGGACCTGAAGTAGAGATTCTGGCGAGGCATGCCATGGGAAAGCACTAGATCAGATCTCATCCGTAGTAGTACTGTTGACATTTTGGGCTGGCTGATTCTTTGTTTTGTAGGGGCTGGTCTGTGCATTGTAGAATGTTTAGCAGCATCCCTGGTCTTTGTCCACTAAACAGCAGTTTCACCTTTATGGTGACCAAAGATGTGTCCAAATATTGCCAGATATCCCAGGGCGGGGCTGCGAAAATCATTCCAATGGAGAGCCACTGCTCTAGGGTTCTGGATGCGTCCACTAATTTTAATTTTCTAGCACCTGCTCATTTAGTACCCTCAGTTTCCTTGGTATGCAGGTGAGTGAACACCTGCCTGTTAGTAATGCCTCTCTTTAAGGGCTGCTTGGACTCTTCTCCAAGCTGGTAAGAGGGGATGTGATGCTTTCTTTCACTTCCTGGTGTGTATCCCAGTCCGGAAGTGATGAGCTGTAAATTTGCAGATTGGAAGACGGGGGCTGGTGAAAATAGTGGTTCTCTGAAGGTGGGGAGGGTTTTTAGTAAGTCTCATGTGACTCAGACCTCAGTTGTTAGCAGTGGAGTCTATACCCGTTCCAAGGCTACATGGCAGGAATACTGTTTTATATTTAATAGTTGTCAGTGTAGACATTAGTATGTGGCAAACATTGACTCAGCAGTATCCAAATGTGGGCATTTGGAGCAGTGCCTCACAGACCCTTCTGGAAGTGCTTTAAAGGTCTTTCCAAATCCAGTGTTTTTTCTTGTTGTCATTGCGTTTGTAACCTTCCCATGTTGAGCCTAGTTGGTCCCCTCTTAATGCTGTAGTCCCGGGAAATAAGTATCTTTTTACCTTCTTTTCATATCCCTTCTTTCCACATTTCTTCTCCTGTTCTCTGTAGGGTGAATGAGCAGATTAAAACACATTTTAGTTGGATTAATTAGAATAATTACCTCAAGACTAATTGCTTACTTGCTGCTACTTTTAATCACTGCTGCATGGTCTGTGGTTGTGGTGGCCACATGCCCAGAGACCAAGGCCTTAGCCACCTGTCTGGAAATGACTTGTTACCACCAGCCATGGGACACACAGAGGTGAGCGCAGCCTGTAACTTCTAAGTAATAACTGATATTGGGTGGAGTGAGTGGGCATCTCTTGTCCGTTCTGGGCTAAGGGCTGATCTTGTTCAGCTGTTTGAGAGCAAAATTTAGCTTTCTGGCTTAAAATAGTTGGGAAAGTAGGGCAGATAGGTCCTGGGCCACATCTCTTGTGTGCAGTCTTCTGATTCCATGGCAGGGGGAGGAACCTCAGGATGAAGTCAGGGCTGTGCGTTCTCAGGAGGAGCTCCGGGCCAAGGGGATTGGTTATACTTGGTTCTGCCAGGCCTAACAAGATGGCAGAAGCAGCAAAGGGAAGGAAGCTAGCAGGTGAACCATGGTCTTAATCGTGACACTCAGAGCAAGCAGAAAGTAAATAGGTCGTACACATGTCAGGGCTGGCTGGCCATTAGAGGCATAAGGCAGGCTCATGGGGGCTGCCCAGAGTACAGGTAGCTGTAGCTGAAGGGAGGCTGTTAGGCAGTCTTAGTGATCTTGGCCAGTCCCTCCACCTCTGGTTCTGTTCTGTCCTGGGCAGGGCACAGAGTGGATGTTGGGGAATGGTGGCTGTCTTGGAAATGTGCCTTAACACTGTCTCCAAGACTGTCCCCTAGAGGAGAGATGTACCGTCCTGCCCGGTCCCTTAGAGTTTTTCAGACTCTTCATTTAACCTGCACCTAATCCTCTAAGGAAGGATTTGCTTTGAGATCTGTTTTGTAGATGTAGAAACAGAATAGTTAAGCTCAACACACATTTCATTTAGTGTCCACTGAGTGCAGAGACGAATAAGGCCTTTGCAGCACTTAGTCTTG